CCTCATGCCCTTTCTGATCTTGATAGGGAAAAACCCCCACCCCGGGCCCCATGGCTGAACCCACTGCTGATTGGATATGTATTGGATGTAAAGCTTGTTGCTGATTGGATGTAAAGCTTGTTGCTGATTGGATATGTAAAGCTTGTTGCTGATTGGATGTAAAGCTTGTTGCTGATTGGATATGTAAAGCTTGTTGCTGATTGGATATGTAAAGCTTGTTGCTGATTGGATATGTAAAGCTTGTTGCTGATTGGATATGTAAAGCTTGTTGCTGATTGGATACTTTTCAAATCCTACCACTCATTGGATAACTCCTCATGCTCACGGTTGATTGGTTGTGTGTAACCCCAAGAAGTGTATAAAGCTGGAGGAGAACAAGGAAGTGGTGCTCAGTTTGGCGGCGTGCCCCTCTGAGCCTGCCGGCGGAATAAGGGCTGATTCTCCGACCCTGTGTGTGCCGCTCGGCTCTTTCCCTGGTCAGTCGCTGCTGCTGGAACAATCTGGCTCGGCTGTCACCTTCTGGCCTCCCTCTTAAATTGCTGTCCCGGCCCCAGGACTGCTCCCGCCGCCCTCCCCATTTTACTCCCTGCTCGGTTACACTTTCGCCTCTTGCCGTGTAACTACGTGTTTATGATCTGCCTCCTCCAGCTGGAATATAAATCCCGGGGAGGCAGAAAGTTCTCCCTGCCGTGTTCACTGCTCGGGATCCAGGAGGCTTGACAGCTCGTGAGCACCTCGCGGAACCACAGTGCATCTTCCACTAGCGAGCACGTACGCGCCTGTGATAACCGGGGCGTCTTGTCCATTACCCAGAAGCCATGTGGGACAGGGGCTAGGGGGAGGTAGACACTAGATCAAATTCCAGCTGTGTGGCCTTGGCAAGGACTCAGCGTCACTGCGCCTTGATGTTCTCATCTGTGCAATGGGCATGCCAGCTGAAGAGGCTGTGAAGATGGAGGGAGCCCAGGCACGGAGCACACTTAGCACACAGGGGATACAGTAGGCGCTCAGTCTGCGACAGCTCAGTGACTGCATCCTGGAAGATGGCTGGCGCTGTCCTCCCCTTGCAGGGGAGGAAACCAAGGCGCATCCCAGGCCTGGGAGGGCCAGAGCTTTGCTTCTTCCCTCTGAGTAAAGAGCGTGGGCCTCCGCACGCTTGTGGTTTCCAGGGTGAAGTTGACGCTCCCAGCCCAGCCCCACTTTGGGGGCAGAACTCCGCGTCCCGGCTCTGGGCAGCAAGCGCCTCCCGGACCAGGAAGTCAGGGTTCTCCCAGACACTAAACCAACGGAGAATGAACATACGTGTGTGTAGAGAGATTTATATATAAAAATACATAAAAGAGAAAAGAGATACATATATAAAATATAAAAGAGATTTATCATGAAGTCGGCTCTTTTGATCAGAGAGGCTGGGGAGTCTCACAGCCCGCTGTCTGCAGGCCGCAGACCCGGGAGAGCCAGTGGCACAGCCCAGGTCTGTCAAATGAAGGGATTTGACAGGAGGAACTCTCCGCCAGGGTGGTGGCAGAGCCAGAAGGGCGACTGGGAGAAGGTGAGGCTGCCCAGAGACGAGCAGTCCCTGGAAGCCGTTCCTCCTGACCCCAGGGCTGGGGACGCAGGGAGGACTTTGGGCTGAGATGTGGGAGGAGGGCAGCTATGCCTAGCAGCTGTGTGACCTTGGGCAAGTCACTTCACCTCCCACTGCCTCCATTTCTCCATCTGTAAAATGGGGGAATAACAGCACTTATTTCCTAGGGCTTCGTGAGGCTTGTGGTGGTGCAGGGTGGGGCCTGTGGCGGTCTCCACTCTGCAGGCAGGAGTGAGCAAGACCCCGAGTGCAAAGCCCTCCGCATGGTGCGGGCAACAGGGGACATGGCCGTGGCGGTTACCATGTCGCCCCTGCCACTGCAGGGTGGGTGCTGTGGCCCGGCTGGCTGGGGCGAGCTGCGGGCGTCTGAGTGTGTGGGCGAGGCCACACCTGGCCGAGCCCCAGAGCCTGCCCTCCCTTCTGCACTCCGGCCTGGAGCACGGCGGGAGGGCCCCTGGGGACCTGTGGCATCTGGGGACCTGTGGGAACCTGTCGAGGGCACCCCTCCGTGGGAAGGACCCCACGTCCTGAAAGATGGGCCCTCACCCTGCTGGCACAGCTAGACAGTGAGCACTGGGGACAGCCCTTGGGGATGTTGTCAGGGCTGCATCTTCGGGACACCTTGGAGGTCCAGGCCGCCGGCAGCAGCTGGGCTGGACAGACACGGAGGCGAGTGTGGCGTCTGGAGGCTGGGTAGAGGTTATGTGCGTTCACGAAGCTTCACAACTCATGAGACCTACGAAACCTCAGCTGCGAGGTCCCAGCTAACCCTGTCAGTCTTCTCTGCCCTGTCCATTTAAGGCACACGTGAGACAGCCTCTCCGATGTTTTCTCCCTCCCAAGAAGGAAAACTGGACTCTTCCTCACCCCAGGCTCCAGGTCCCCTGGATCAGGCCCCTTCCCCTCTGTGGGACCGCAGTTCCTGCAACTCTGCCTTCTCCCCTCCGTTCCCGCCACACCAGCCTTGTCTCTGTGCTGCAAACGTGCTGGGCTTGTCCGCACCCCAGGGCCTTTGCACATGCTCTCCTCTCCCTGGGAGCCTCCTTCCTCCAGACCTTCACATGGCTGCCTCCTCCTCCAGCCTCCTCTCCTCAGAGGGGCCCCTGGCACGCCTCCCGTGCCATCACCATGTTTTATCGTGAAGTTTTCTTGTTTCTGTGTTTACCGGTTTACCGTCCAAGTGTCGGGCTCCTCCGGCGTCTGGAACAAGGCCCGCACAGAAGCCGCGCTCAGGGAGCGTTAATGGCGTGGCTGATTGCGGGCTCAGCTGCAGATGAAGACACGGATGCTCCGAGAGGGGAAGGGACGCGCCTTGGGCCTCGCCGGGCAGTGAGCGGGTGGCGGAGCCCGGAGGGGGAGACAGGCCCCTGACCGCCGAGTGGTGGGCCCTCCTCCTGCGCCCTGCGTCGGGGCCCGCGAGTCTGCCCGCCCGCGCAGCGCCTCCGGGAGGTGTGGGGGGTTCGGAGCAGCGAGGGGCTGACTCGCGGATGAAGCGTGGGAGGAGGGCAGAGGTGGGCTCGCCGCTGTGGACGGACAGACAGACAGACAGACGGCCTCTGAGAGGCGCGGCAGGGGTGCGGCCCAGCCTCATGGAGAGGCCAGCCAGGCGTCCCCAAACTACGGCCCGCTGTAGCCCTGCCTCGGCCCGGCACAGCCTGCCCCTTCCAGCACGGAGCGCTCGCAGGGCGCAGCGGCGAGCGGCCACTCCAGCCGAAAGCACGGAAAGTGTCTGGCCTTCTGCAGCCCAGACAGGTGACCCACGCCCACCCGGGACACCCCCAGAACCTGCACATTCCAGAGCTGGGGAACACCCCAGGGGTCCCATAGCCCAGGGGTCTCCAAACCGTGGGCACCCCAGAAGACAGAGGGGGGGCTGCGGGCCAGGAGCCCGACTCGACCGGAGCGTGTCCGTGTACACCTGCGCGCTCTGCGGGCCGCGGAGCGCTCTGTATTCCCGAAATGGGCTCTGTGGGCTTCATTTTATTTTGAAATAAACTTTTAATGGTGAGATCATGGTAGATTCGCATGCAGTTGCAGGAAATAACACAAGAGCCACGCCAGCACCCTTTACCCAGTTCCTCCCGGCGACAACAGCTTGCAGCAGCTGCAGCGAAGTCACAACCTGGGTATCGACATTGATACTGACACAAAACGTGCCCGGCACCCCAACGGTCTCTCACGTTGCCTTTTTATAGCCACAGCTACCTACCTTCTGCCCATCCCCGCCACCTCCTTAACTCCTGGCAGCCACCAATCTGCTCTCTGTTTCCGCGATTTTGTCATTTTCACGGTGGCATGCAAATGGGACCATGCCGTTCGTCACTTGTTGGGCTTTGCTGTTTCGAGTCAGCATGATTCTCCAGAGACCCATCCAGGCCGTCTTGCGTGTCCATAGCTGTTCCTTATTATTGCCGAGTAGTATTCCGTGACAAGGATGCGTCACAGCTTGTTTACCCAGTCACCTGTTGAAGGGCACCTGGGTGGCTTCCAGTTTTTGGCTATTACCAGTAAAACTGCTATAAACATTCATGTACAGGTTTTTATGTGAACATAAGTCTTCATTTCTCTGGGAGAAATGCCCAGGAGTGCAACTGCTGGGTTGTATGGTAGAGTGTTTACTTTCTAAAGAAACTGCCAACCTGTTTTGCCCCATGGTGTGTTTCCGCCGGCGACGTACGAGTGATCAGTTTCTCCTTGTCCTCACCGGCCTTTGGCGTCGTCACTGTGTGTTTGTTGTAGCCATTCTGATGGGCGGATGGTGATATTTCACTTGGATTTAATTTGCATTTCCCTGATGGAACGATCCTCTGCTTTGTGGTTTAAAAAAAAAAATGTTTTGAACCACTCTTAGGTCCTACTAGCCCATTTCATAGATGAGAGAAACTGAGACCCAGGGAGTGAAACAAACGTGCACGGCGGCAGCTGGATCTCTCGGTTTTCACCCTGACTCCTGGCCATGTCCCCTTTCGAGAGGAGAGAGAGGGAAACACGCTCTTTAAAATGCTGCTTTCTTTGGCTTGGAGGTGTGGCAAGCGTTATTTTGATATTTAACTGATGCAGTCATGCTTTCAGCGACGTCCCGTCACTCTGTATTCTCGCCCGTATGGAGAGCTGGCTTCAAGCTGTCGCCGAGGGATGAGTTGTCACAGCGGGACTTTCTAGATGACCATCGGAGCATGCTACGTGGACATTCCTTTTTTGTACAGACCTCGTCGAGGACCCTGAGTGGGGTGGTGGGGTCTGGCCATCGAGGGGCTGCTTCGCACTGCCCCCCAAAGGGGACAGAGGAGACGCACCTCCATGCATGGGGGGGTCGCCAATCTCCGCCCCGGGAGAGACCTGGCCGCCGGCGAGGCTGGCGCGGGGCCGGCCCGTGGAGCGCGGGTCAGGGCCCACGCCTCCCCTCCCCGGCCCTCGCCCCGCACGGACGCCGGCTCTCCCCTCCTTGGCCTCCCAGAGCCGTTGTGCGTCTTGTTTTATCTCATTTTATTTTTGGAGAAAGTTCCACTCTGGAGACCCGGGAGGGAGGGGAGCACGGATCTGGGGAGGAAGGACGTCTAGAAAGAGACAACACACACAAAAAAATTTTTTAAAGCATGGTAATAAATGCTATTCAAAAAAAAAAAGAAAAAAAAAAACGAAAGAGAAAGAAAAGAGAAAGAAAAACCCACCCCACAATCTCTGAAAAACACAGCCCATTGAAATGACAAGCCGAAAATCATTTGCTAAGCGCCGAAGCCGTTCCCTTTGTCACCCAAATCCTTGTGTTGGCAGTTACCTTTCAATCCTGCAATTGTGCGGCAGGGGCTGATTTTTATTCAGCGTTCTATTCACTCTGCGCATTAATGAAAAGGGAGGAGGGAGGAAAACTTGTAAGAATGGTGGTTAATAGGCTGATAGACAAGCCGTCTGGATCCCCGGCCGGGCCCCTCTTATCAGCGGCTCACAGTGGGGCCGAGCGTCCCCGTCCTGGGCGGCTTGGTGCGCCGGCCTCGCGGCCCTGCCACCGAGACACTGGGACAGACGGACGGACGGACGGACGGGCTCTAACATTTTATATGCAATAAAGAAAGGTGTGATGACGCTTTTTCCTTAGCAGGGAGGGAGGGACGGACACAGGTCCTGACTCCACCCCGTGATTCAGACACGTATGTGGCAGTGTTTATTGGGCACCTACTGCATACTGAGGGATCGTGCTGGGAGCTGGGTTCAGGCATTGAACTTGGAGCCAGGAGGTGGTCAGCAAGCCAGCTTGGTGCAGGGGTCCGGAGAGGTCAGCGGAGACCCCACTGACTCCCGGAGACCGTGGACCCCAAATCGTGTCTCCAGGCCCCCCCGAGGCAGAGGAGCCTGGGAGGCACCGGCCGCATCCCCGCGCCCGAGGGCTGAGAGTTTCCGTGTCGCAGGCTGCCCTGGGTTCGCCTCGCTTCTCTCCCGGCCCGCTGGGAGGCAGGGGCAGGGCAAAATGAACGTGGGTCGGTTCTGTTTGGGGTGGGGCAGGGCCATGCGGCGGGAGGTCACCCGCCCTTCCCTTCCCGGGGAGCCTTGGGCAAGTGGGCTCACCTGTCTGGGCCTCGGCCGGCTGCCATGCGGGGGTGACGTCATCACGCAGGAGCTGGGAGGATACAGGGGGGTTCGCAGGCTCAAGTCCCCGGCCCCTCCCCTCCCGCTGCCCCCCTACTTCCTTCCTCTCCTTGTTTTCTTTCGTGGCTTCTAGAATTCTAGCAGGGTGCTGGCGGGGCGGGTGCAGGGAGAGCTCAGGAAGGCCGGGAGGAGTTCAGCCTCGAGGGCGTGTTTGGGACAGTGAAACTGGCTCCTGGCTGGGTGCTGAGCTCCCCGCCGCCCCAGGGCTGCAAGCGGAAGCCCATGGCAGCCAGCCGAGGGTGTTGGGCCGTGAGGGTGTAGGGGTGGCGTGCGGGTCGGTGGAGGGATCCGTACTGGCCGGGCCGCCAGCCAGCTCCCGGAGCCACCAGCCACCCGAGGCCCTGCACTTGCCGGGATGCTCGTCCCGCACAGCCCGCTGGGCCTGAGCCCGTCTGCAGGCGGCCTCACCGTGGTCCAGTGCCAGGAGGCGGCCTGGTGGCCCGTCCCTCCCTCCCTCCACCGCACACCGGCCCTCGGCGGCTCTGCCTCTGGAGCACCCCAGGCGGCCAGCACCCCCCGAAGTCTTCCCTGACCCCCACCCATCGCCCTCACCCCCGCACGGCCCGCCCGTGTATCCAGCGTGTCTGTTCAGGTCGTCCTGCCCTGCCCTGCCCTCCCGCGGCCTGCGAGCTCCGGGAACAGGCCCCGCGCCGGCCGGCCGCGTGTGTCCCTGGGTCCGTGACTGGATTCACACGTGACCTCCAGGCCTGCAGTGGGGGCGGCCCTGCGTGTCAGCCCGGGGCCCGTGCCCTCCACCCTCCCGATCGGGAACCAGGCCGCTGCGTCACTGCTCCCTCTGCCGAACCCCGGTGCAGTGCGGGCTGGGCGGCCTTGACGGGCAGCGACCGCCTCTCACCCCGACCGCTCACTCAGCCACTCGACAAGCACTTGCTGTCCTGCGCCAGCGCTCGGGCCCAGCTGTGAGCAGGAACGGGTGTGCGGCTGGCGCTCTCCACGGGGAGACTGAGTCACAGTAAACCAGCATAAACGAGGCGTCAGTGGCTATGAAGAAACGCGGAGGAGGGGCAGGGATTGCGGGCGATGTCCTGGTCAAGGGGGCAGTCAGGGAGGACTTCCCGAAGGAAGTGACAGTAGCAGAAGCTTCGGTGAAGTTCTACTATCCGGGGCGGGTTGGTGGGGCACCGGTGGGGCAAGGGAAGCAGGTGCCTTCCTGTGGGACCCCGTGGCTTGGGGAGGGGGGTGGCCTTTGTCTTTGATGCCGCCCGGGCCTTGCATGAGTTTTAAGGGAAGGCGCTAGCGCAGTGACAATCTCAGTGCGTGCCCGCGACTGCCGAGGAATGGAAGAACGAACGGGTGCGCTGGGGAGTGAGCGCCCCACACACCACGGCCCTGGAGTCCAGGGTCCCACCTCTTTTACACCCCCGCCCCCAGGTCACCCCCCCCCTTGTCCCTGCCACCTCCTCCTGGCTCCCCGGCTCCCCGGCCGGGAGGGGTTCAGCCTTAAAGGTGAGCGTTTCGGGTGAGCGAAGCAACAAAGTCTCTGGGCACACACGAGGTCCCGTCCCCCAGCCTCCTTGGGCGGGAGCAGCAGTCCAGACGTCGTGTGGGTCTGCACGGCCCCTCCCCTCCCCCCCTGCACCGGGATCGCTGACGACGCAGACTTTCATGTGTTCACGCTGGCAGAGCCGGCGGGAGGTCCCGGCGGGTGGGCTGTGTTCCGTCCCCTTCCTCCCCAGAGCCAAGGCACCCTTCCTCCCGCAGCCCTGCGCGTGCGTGGGTCCCGGCTCATTCTGCACCTCTCGGGGCGGGAAGAAGTGTCGCTGCCGTCGTCTGTGATGGGCGGGCGGCGTTTGCTCAGCCCTCCTCTGCGTCCGTCCGGCACCGAGCTCTCCCCTGCACCCTGCTCGCCCCTGCACCCTGCTCGCCCCTGCACCCTGCTCGCCCCTGCACCGCGCTCGCCCCTGCACCGTGCTCTCCCTGCACCGCGCTCGCCCCTGCACCCTGCTCACCCCTGCACCGTGCTCTCCCTGCACCGTGCTCTCCCTGCACAGCGCTCACCCTGGGTCTTGGCCCTCCGGGACTGACGTCCTGCAGGGGCCACAGCCAAGCGCAGGGCAACGACTAAATGATCAGGGCAATGACGCAGGGAAACGAGTGCAGAGGGACGTGGAACAGGGAAGCGACACGCGGGGGGGGGGGTGTTTTCAGGTACAGGGGTGAGGGAAGGCGGGGGGTTGATTGCAAAGACGTGCCCAAGCCGCCACTGTGCTCCGTGGCCACTGCCCTCCGCGATGTGCCCTTGCGGCTCACTCCTTGGAGAGCGGAGTCTAGTCCTCACCCTGAATCTGGGCTTGGCCTCGCACGCCGCTTTGGCCGGTGGGACGTGGTAGGGAGGACGCAGGTCCAGTTCCGGTCCGAGGCCTGCACACTTCTGCTCGCTCTCTGGGAGCCCTGCTGCCGCTCTGGCGTGAGCCCGGCTCACCTGCTGGCTGCTGGGGGCCGCGTGTGGCCGAGCCACGCCGCGCCGGGGGAAGCCAGCTCAGCCGGCTTCCAGCCGCAGCCCAGCCGATCTGCCAGGCCACCTCGGAGGCGGGCGACCGTCTGAGCAGGAGCAGCAGGGCTGCCCACTCGACCTGCACCCGCGCGAGCTAAGCAAACGCCTGCTCTTCTAAGCCGCGCGGTTTTGAGACGCTTTGTCACGCAGCAGTAGCTCGCTGACACTAAAGGCCGGCCCAGCAGGCGACATTTCACCCGAGACCCAAAGGACCAGAGGGCGGTGGTGGCGAGACAAGCTGCGGCAGGGGTCCTGGGGAGAGAGGGCAGCAGACACAGGCCCTGGGCAGGCGACACGGAGGCCGGCCCTGGGGGCAGAGAGGAGGCCGGTCGTGGGGGCAGAGAGGAGGCCGGTCGTGGGGGCAGAGAGGAGGCCGGTCGTGGGGGCAGAGAGGAGGCGTCGTGGGGGAGAGAGAGGGCCGGCTCGCTGGGGCCGAGCGAGGAGCCACCGGGCCGTGGCCAGGGACGGTGGGTCACGCGGGAGGCGGACGGACTGCGGCCGGATCACACCGGCCCTGTGGACGATCCGCGTTTGTGGAGAGCAGCGCCGCGTGCTACTGTCCCCCTCTCCCGGGAGGCGGTGAGGGTGAGCTCAGCGGCGGCGCTCTGCTTTCCCACGCGCGGCGGGGGGGTGTGGGGTGGGGCCGCGCGGGGAACGGGTGAGGGGGTGGCCCGGCGGCACCTATTCCAGAGAACCGGACGGACCGGTGCAGCGGCGGGCGTCTGTGCCAGACCCCGGCGTGCTCCGAGGGGCAAAGAGGCGCAGGGGGCGCGAGCGGCGAGGACAGCCCGTGAACCCGGCTTGCCTCCTGCCTCACCGGCGGCAGGAGGGCGTGGGCGTCCGGGCTGTCTTACCAGGACCACCGCCTGGTGTTCTCAGGTCTGCAGGTCCAAGGTCAAGGTGTCGGCAGCCTGCAAAGCCGCCGCCGCTTCTTCGCGCGTCCTCACGCGGTCTGAGCCGGGCACGGCCCTTTACAGTCTCCCAAGCCCCTATGCGCCAGTGGGCCACAGCTGCAGCAGCGACCCAGCCACATCGGCCGCGCAGCTCTCACCACGACCGGGCCGCAGGAGGCTACCCGCGCCCCTTGGACGCTGGGGGGTCCTCTCCTACCCAGCAGGCCTCCTCCCGGAGACCTCTGCCGCGCTTCCAGACCCCGAAGCCCTGGGCAGCTCTTGGGACTCGTTTTCTTAGTTCAGTTTTTAAATCAGCATCGCATTCAGACGCATCAAACTTTACAAGGTACAGAAATGTACACGCTGGGCCGGGCGTGGTGGCTCACGCCTGTCATCCTGGCACTCTGGGCAGGCCCGAGGCGGGAATGGATTGCTCGAGTCAGGAAGTTCCAAACCAGCCTGACGGAGCGAGACCCCGTCTCCGACTATACTAGCAGGAACCAAATTAATGGGCCAACTAATATATATCGGAAAAATTAGCCGGGCATGGTGGCGAATGCCTGTAGTCCAGCTACTCGGGAGGCTGAGGAGGCAGATCGCTTGAGCCCAGGATTTGAGCGTTCGCTGTGAGCTACGGCTGACTGCCAAGGCACTCACTGTAGCCTGGGCAACAAAGCAAGACTCTGTCTCAAAGAAAAAAGAAAAAAAGAAATGTACACGCTGAAAACTGAAAATTACCCCAGCCCTGCCCCCTCAACACCCTCCCCATGGGCAAGCCGTGTGTTCACATATGCTTTATTACATACGTGAGTCCTTTCCAGAACATGTTATGCGAAATGAAGCCGAGCATACGTTAAATGAGATTTCCCACTGCCCGCCTCGCACACAAATCGTGCCATGCTCACTCCATCCTTTTTGCTCACTACAATTTGAAGATCTTTAGTATTTGTAATTAAATTGCTTCCTCTTTCACTGATAATACTGCCGTAGTATCTCCACCGCACCGGGAACATGCCAGTGGCTTATTTATCGCTAGTCCTCCTTCATGACGGGTCTGGATCGTGTCCCATGTGTTGCCATGACTTCTAATACTTCACTGAACAAGTTTTTTTTTTTGAGACAAGGAGTCCACTCTGATTTGCCCCAGGCTACAGTGCAGTGCCTCAGCCCTAGATACAGCAACCTCAACTCCTGGCCCTCAAAGCAATCTCCCTGCTCAGCTCCCCGAGTAGCTGGGACTACAGGCATGCTCCACGATGCCCGGCTAATATATATATATATATATATATAATTTTTTTTTAGTTTTCCAGCTAATTTCTTTCTCTATTTTTTAGTAGAGACAGGGTCTCACTCTTGCTCAGGCTAGTCTTGAACTTCTGAGCTCAAATCATCCTCTCACCTTGGCCTCCCAGAGTGCTAGGATTACAGGCGTGAGCCACCACTGCTGGCCTATTGGAACAACTTTTACATCTATTTGCATACAGGGGAGAAACTCTATAGCATACATTTTTAGACCTAAAATTGCCGATTTATTATATCGATAGATTTTATCAAAGTATCTCCCATAGAGGAGGATACCAATGGACGCTGCTCCTAGCAAGGTGTGAGAGTGGGCTGGCTGAACTTTCAGCATTTTTGAAGACTGAACAGCTGTCACCTTCTCCAGGAAGCCTTCC